AGAAGCGCATCCACATCATCTCACCACCTGCTGCAGCATTAGAACTGCATGACCAGGATCTCCAACCTCCCACACCAATCGAACCACCTGGATCCCAGGCCCCTTAATCTAGAGTGTGGCTTTCCGTGACCATCTGCACTCTAGTCAGTTCCTCCTCATGGAGCCATTAGGCCCATTGGTGGCATCCAGTCCTGCCTTCCCTCTGGTGTGTGGCCTTCCTTCGCCTCCTTTGCTCTGTGCACTTTCCCTCCCCTCTGGCTCCAGCCAACCCAGAGAATCACTGTTCTTTCTCCTTCTTTAGGCTCAACTCAAATATCACCTGTTCTGGAAGCTGATCCTCTCTTAGCGTCTATCACTGTCCCTCTTCCTTTACAGATAGTGATCAAAAGTCTGCAATTCCTTGATGTGCTGTCTCCTCCCCTGTGAATCCACAGCACAGTGCCCCCTGACCCAGAATAGATGCTCAATTAGAGATTGTTAAATGAATAAAAAATGAAGAAATACCACAGGAGCTGGAGAGATGGCTTAGCAATTAAGAGCACTGACTGCTCTTGCAGAGGACCTGGGTTCAATTACCAGCACCCACAGGGCAGCCAACAACCATCCATAATTCCAGTTTCAGGGAATCCAGTGCCCTCTTCTGACCTCCGTGGGCATTGCATGACACAGGTTCTTTTATATATATGCTGGCAACACACTTATATACAGAAAATAAAAATAATGAATAAAATATTTTAAATGAAAAAATACTTTAGTTCTTCAAATGTTTACCAGCATCTTTCCTGTGTGGTCCTTGTAACAAGTAATTTTAATAAATTACAGAATCCAGAAATTTTCAAGTAATTTTATTAAACCTACAGAATCCAGAAATTTTCATTGATCCAAGGGCCTGGTGGTTAGGACTGCATACAGTTGCCCCTTGGTATCAGCAGAGGATTGGTTTCAGAATGCCCAAAGTCCATGTATGCATAAGCTCTTTACATAAAATGGCATAATATTTACATGTGACCCTTGCACATTGTCCCATATGCTTTTAATAAGCTCTAGATTATCTGAAATACCCATTACAGTGCAAATATTATCTAAATAGTTGTTATATTACTTAGGGAGTAATAATAAGTCTGTACATGTTCAATATGAATATATTTTTTCAAATATTTCCCATCTGTAGTTGACTAAATTTCAGGGCGTAGAAACCTAGGGTACACAAGGCCAAATGGCATTCTGGGGTCCCATTGTGGGAAAGGACTTACCTACTTCATATATTATAGTATTCTGCATCTTATTATATGGTATATGCAGCTTATATGTCCACATGTATGCATTACTCTAAAGAATATTTCAGATATATTTTTCTGTAATTATCTTTTCTCATTTAGTCATATACTTCCAAACAAAGGGCCGCTGCTCTTCATATTACAGCATGTAATCTTTCAAAAATAAAAACAGGAGAGATGGCCCATTGGTTAAGAGCACTGGCTACTCTTTCAAAGGACCCAGGTTCAATTCCCAGCACCTACACAGCGGCTAAAAACTGTTTGTAACTCCAGTTCCAGTTTTGACACACCCTCCTCTGACCTCTGTGGGCATTGCACGACACGGATGCACTTACTAGCATGCAATCAATACACTCATACACACAAAGATAAAAAATAAAACATTTTTTAAATAAATAAAAGATAGAAGTACTCAGTCTTAGTGAGCTATCCATATCTAGGGATGGATGCTGTTAGTGTTAGATCACAAGAATCTCTCCCTAGTCCTGCACCTCATAGAAGAATTATGCATTGAGGGGAGGATGAGTGGGCACACATTCACCAATGGGCAGGAATGGCACCAGAATGGGAAGAGGGGGTGCAGGCAGATGTGGCAGGAAGGGGTGTGGGATGCACCAGCATGGGAGCGAGAGAAGGACAAGTACAAGGAGAAGCTAGGGCTGAGGGCTGTTACCTAAGGAGAGCAGTGAGTCGGGAGAAGGGTGTGGGCAGAAGGTGAGGAGGGGAGATAAAGAGGACCCTAGTTGGGTCCAGGAGGTCAGGAAAGATGGGCATCTCTGGAGAGAAGAGGCATCATGGGCACCCACAGCAGATGTAGAGGCCAAGGCAGTGGCCACTGGTAAAGTTGCCCCAGTAAGTGTCCTCTTCTCTACAAATAATGCAGAAAATTTGTCTCCCACTGACTCTGCCACAGGGCTTTCCAACAAGCTGCAGCATTTGCCTGTTTCCAAGTGGGACTTGTTTATCTCCATCTGGAGCCTCAAAGTGCAAAACAAACTTCCAAACAAAGGGCTCTCTGCGCTACAGCTGTCAGCCCTGGGCTGTAGCCCAGAGAGAGCCATGGCTTTGCTCTCCTGATGACTTCCACAGCTACAGCCACAGACCCAGGTCGCCACCCCCGCTTCCTCTTGCATCCTTCCTGCTACCTCTGATTGTTGTGGACATTCTCATGGGGACAGGTTTGGGGGCCTTTTTTAACCCTTTTCTTCCTAGCTTCAGAACCATGAAGAGACAAGAATATTGATTCCCACATGGAAGATTTCCTGGCCTTGTAGACTGGTCTATGGTGCAGTGGTCTCTCCTAAGAACTGAATTCATCAGCCCCCTGCAGCATGTACTGTTGAAAAGAACCCTAGTGCAGAACTCATCTATTAAGCTCCTTGTGGTGAGAAAATTCTAAGGCATGGGAAGGTCCAACAGGGACTCTAAGTTGGAAATGGCAGGCTTGCCACTGAGAACAGCTGGAAGTGAAGGACGTTACTATTGAGTAGTGTTCATGTGTCCCATTCACTACTGTAAAAGAACAGCAATCCCAAAGATCCAAATGGGGGCTGTCATTGTACCCATTTTAGAGAGGAGAAATTTGCCACTTGTGGAAGCTGAGCATCTTGTCTGAGGCCATGCAGCTAGAAAATGATAGAGCTGGGAGATTCAGCCAGCCGGGCTAGAAACAGTACCTGGGCTCTTCACCAGTGATCAGGTGCTTAGCTTGTGCTTTGCTTAGTTAACTGTTATCTTCCTTCTTGTCCCAATGTCTTCCTGACCACTGTATCCACCCAGCAGCTGGTATGAGCCTGGCACAGAATAAGCCTTCACCATACAATTGTCGAATGACTGGATGAATACATGTATATGATTCTTTTATTTGTCTCTGTTCTATAATCTGAAATTAAGGCTTTGAGGGATTAAAAATGGGATAATTTTACACATCTTCTTTACTGTGACTTTCTCCCAGAAAAAAACTTTTCTCCAAGCATTAGAAACAAGGTAACTTGGGATTGAATAAGGAATCCCAATCTGAATCTGCAGAAGTCTCCAAAGAGATATTTGGGGAGAACTTAGGGGTTTATTAATCACTTACAATGTTCTCAAAGCTATCCTAGGCCTCTACCCTTTTCAACATAATGGTATATCTAAAAATCCCATTGACATGCTGAATAGGGAAACCAGTCCAGAGTCTATAAGTCTACTCATCTGCAGGTATTCAGGACTTTGTTACATATGTACAACTTGGAAGAACCACTGTGAGACGGTCAGGAATGTTTTTGCCCACCGCCACCCCCCACCCCAGTGAAAACAATAATCCTAATGCACTGTCAAAATGTGTTTGGAATCCATTGATTCTTTATCTAAAGATTCTTAAACCACTGTCATGTTTTGGGTGCAGTGCCATATCAATGGTTTCCACTCTGTGTCAGACACAAACATTGTATTTATCTAAAAGTTGTCCTTTCTCCAAGTTTAACGGGGTAGCTACCTCACCTTACCCTGAGACCTCAGGTTATACACACATGTGTATGTGGTTATACACACATGGAACTTCCAGTTAACCTGGGAGAGTCCAGGTCTGCCACAAGATGCCCTAGAAGCTACCACCTAGAAGGTGTGAGTACGCAGTTTCCTGAGTCCACACATGCTCTAACCAGAGTCATTCTATAGACTGGGATAGTGTGTGATCTTCCAGTCTTATTTTTGTTAGACTTCAATAAGCATGAATTTGGTTCAGAAAGTGATGGGATTAATAGAGCAATTTAAAGAACCCCACCCTATTTTGGTCAGTTGTAACTAAAAATATTCAGAAACTAACTGCCAATAATACATAACTATAAGAACTGATTACCAAAAAAAAAAAAAAAAAAAGCAATTTGTGGCAAGAGCTAGTTGCCTGTACAAAAGCAGGAATGACTATGAGCCTCCGTTGTGAAGTCATAAGTCCTTGTGCCTGCCGCCTTCCTCAGGTGGGAGCACTTCAAGGGTGGGGTGCCTGGACCTTCTACACTTAGAGTCCTGTCATATTAGGACCACAGAAGACTGAGCCATTTAGGACCACAGAAGACTGAGCCATGTTGTCAGCAAATGTGTACTGATACCTACTGTGTGAGGCTCTGGTGAAGGTCTGCAATTAAGACCCATTCGTTCTTGGAGTGAACATTCTAGTGAGAACAGAGATGAGGTAGACAATTATGAGATGAGTCCAGCGATAAGGGGAATCGAGAGAATAAGTAGGGGAGTGGAGACACGAGTACCTTGCCCACTGGTCCAGGTGCCGCATGATCCAGTTCAGGTAAAAGAAGCAGAGATTTCAGGGACCTGCCCAAGGCTAGATGGCAACCAACTTGTCAGCCCTGCGCTGAGGTGGGAGCTCTCTTCCTGCAAAGCCAGTCTTTCCTTCTCAGCTTCTCCCACTGATAACTTGCCTTCCCTATCTCTATCGAGCCCTCAGGCCCAGGTCAGCACCCCGAGTCGGTCCCAGAACACCAGGGTGCCCTTCTTCCCCATCACCCCCAGCACCCAGCAGAAGCCTGGCAGGGCGGGGCCTCGAACACGCGCCGGCGCGTCCAGCAGGTGGCAGCAGTGAGCGGCCGCCCCCCCCCCCCCCCCCCCGCCCCTCGCGCTGCCAAGCCGCGAGCCCACACCATGGATGGCGAGCTCTCGGGTTTCGCCTGGCTCGCCCTGCCATCCCGGACCCCAGAGGGCCAGCAGGATTCATGAGCCGCTCGCAGGGGCCGGGGCTGGGACCTCTGGCTCCAGACGCTGGCCGAGAGGTGGGTCCCGGGGCGGGTCACTGCTCCGGAGGCCGGGCGGGGACGCGCTGCCCCCGCCCTGCCTCCCTGTGGTCCACACCCCCTTCGGGCTCCGCAGCCAGCGGAATGGGATAGTGCGGCGTGCGCGCGAGCCGGCGCTGCCAGTCCCGCTGCCGCCCGGGGTTCGGGTCCCAGGAGCCGGGCACCGGGCACCCGAGTCCTCCTCGCCTCCCCCGCCCCCCTGCTTCACCTGCGCTGCCCGTCCACTCGCCTTCAAGGCCAGCAGCCCCAGCCCAGACGGAGAGGGGCCAGCAGGGGGAGAGCGCACCTGAGGATACACAGCTGGCCCTGCCCTGCCTTTTCACCCCCAGGTGATGAGGCCGGGAGAACGGAAGATTTAAAGAGCTACCGGGGCCTCCGTATTGAATGAAAAACCCAGAGCGGAGACATCACCATGAACACGAGCAGTAAGTGGATCCTCCTCTCCTTTGCCATGGGAACAGGGATGGGGGCGGGAGGTGCAGGAGCCTGCGCCCCGCTGCCTGGAAAGAGGTAGAAAGCCGGCATCTGTGGGGACACCTGACTCCAGACTCTCTCCTTAGCGTTTCCGAGCTCCCTGGCACGGGGAGAGCTTTTAGGTCTGCCTTGTCGTGATGATTTTGCTAATGTTTAATCAGCGGCGCCGGTTGCCTCTGCCGGGAAAGCTGCTGTCTCCTTCTAGCCATGCCTGGAAAGCCTAGGAAGCAGCAATGTGGCCATTGTCTGACTAGGGGGCTGGCTCCCAGGAGACCTCCATGCCCAGGTCTGGAAATCCATAGAGGCCCTGCTTGTCCTGAGAAGAGCAGGGAGGCTCTGGGTGGGCCTGCACGGGCCTGGGATACCAAAGAGAAATTTGATAAACAAATCCTCATGAAACCACGTCCGGGGCCTCTCTAGTGCCCCTCAGTGCAGAGTGGCCCAGGCTGATTCTCCACCTACCTTCAGGCTGCTTAGCCTCAGAGAATGAAAGGGGAAAATCCTTTGAGCTCCAGCACGTCAGAGCAACAACTGCTTTGCAGAGCCTGGACCAGGCTTGGGCCTTGGTTACTGAGAAATGCACTTAGCAATCCAAGAAGGGACAGTCTGTCTCCAATTTAGTCTTCTGACTGTGGGCCCTGGATGGGCTACTGTAGCCTGGTCAATATCTTGAGAGGACATAACTGAGTTCAGATCTCACTCTCCTGGGCTTTTTGTCAGCTTAGCTTGTCCAGGTCACCTCAGCACCAAGGGGGACTGTTGAAACAGGGAACCAACCCCTGTAGACATCAGGCTGGGGACTGACTTTGGGTATTACAGCTCTGCATCTCTGATTGCTCAGCTGTGCCATTCAAAGGGCTGCATTAAAGACCCTTCTGATCTAAGAATAGACAACTTTTCATTTGGTTGTTTTTGTTTTCTGTAAAAGCTGGCACTTAGAGCAGGCAAAAAAAAAAAAAAATCAGCCCCTTAGCGAGTCTGTGTCCATCCTGGTTCCACTATCTCCTCGCACTCCCTCCATTTCAAGGCCGTTGGCATAGAGAAGAGGAAAACAAAACAAAGCCGCGGGGATGGAAATGAAATATAAGTATTTACTGTGTATTTGTGTGACTCAGCTCTGCTGTCTTCCTTTCTGTTTCACATAGCTATGCTAAGCGAGTGAGCCAGACTGGACTCCCTTTCCCTCTTAACAGCCAAAGAATTTTACCTCTCAGTCCACCGTCTGGAATGATACTTTGGCCTCATACCAGGCTCGGAGGGAGAAGAGCAAAAATCTTGTAGACCTCGTCACCTGCAGGGCATTTGTGTGCTTCCAGAAAAGTTAAGGTGTGGATTGCCTGCCACTCCTTAATCTGTCTAGGGAGGAAATGCCCTTTCGGGATTCTTTCCACAGTAACTGATAGATGAGAAGGATGGGTCTTCTGGTTTTCACGAAGCTAAGAAAGGCAATAGGCAACTGTCTCTGCCTTTTTACTCTCTCGTCCTGTTAGCAATACTGAGTATTTCAGGGAGAGAGAAATGGGTTTTCCTCTCTTTCTTTTTTCTTTTTTCTTTATTTTTGGGGGGAGCTCTTTGTGAGACAGGATCTCCCTGCAGCCCCAGTTGTCCTCCTCTTTCTTTTTTCAAGAAATAATGATCAATAAAGTTAAGTGTTGAGAATGACATGGATTGGAAAAATGCCATTATTTTAATTAGGGGGCTCATACCTTGCAAGAGTGAGGGGAAACAGGCAGTAGAATGGCCAGGGAGGCCAGGGAGCCACCAAACACCCCTAAGAGGGAACTGAACTCTCAGAGGAGACCCAGCTCTGGGACTGAGAACCACTCCATCACCCAGCGCCTCCCCAACAGGGAGAACCTGCAAAGCGGAGAAAGTAGAAATGAGCCCGCATAGGAGTAACAGGCATGGAGGCTTCAGGGCAGCGCATCCGCAGGAGGCCCTTGGCTGGTCTGACGGAAGCAAAAATGTTCCCACATCTCAAAAGATATGGAGTTATTAACCTCACTCACACAACTCTCGGGGTTTGCTTCACTTCTAGTTAAGTGGTCCTCACACCTCTGCCCAGTTACTGAGCTGGGCACGTGCCCTGCTGGCTTCCTCCAGCATCTCCCACTGTGGCTGTGAGATAGTATTACTGTTCCAGCTCAGTAGATGAGACTTTGTTATTACTGTTCAGCAGTTTCAAGTCATTTGGTTAGCTGTTGGATTATGAAAAGTCTGGAATGTGTGCTGCACTTGACAGTGCGTGCTGTTCCCAGTCAGCTGCCAACACTGAAGTTCAGGCAAAGCATGACTTGTTGTTCAGTTCCTAGCCAGTTCACAGTCACAGGAGACTGTGGTTTGGGGTGACTGTAGGAGCTGCGAGAGCCAGGCATTGTGGCATGTGCCTATAATCACGTGCTTGTAATCTAGAGGCCGAAGTGGGGGGATTGCCAGGGCTACAGCATGGGAGCCTCTCAAAAAGAAAAGAATTGGTGGAGCTAGGGCCTGGGTCAGAGGGTGTGGAGCTCGGTTCTTCTTCTCTTATTGGCTATGTGGTTTTCCAGCACGCTGTCTCATTTGCAGAAAGTAGAATGGAATGGACACTCCGTGTTGGACCTTTTTTTAGACAGGGCCTCACTATGTGGCCCTGGCTGACCTGGATGGAACTCTCTATGTAGACCAGGCTGGCCTCGAATTCACAAAGATCGGCCTGCCCCTGCCTCCTGAGTGCTGGGATGCTGGGATTAAAGGTGTGCACCTCCATGCCTGGCATAGATAGGTATTAGAATTTCGTAAATTCAGAATATAGAAATTTAGAATTTCTAAAATATAGAGTGAAGTGCCTTATCTGTGGACACAGCTGCCATCATGTCAGTGACAGGTGATCAGGTTGTCAGTGTCACTCTGCTGGTCATTGGACCGTTGTCTCCATTAAATTAACTTGGGACATTAGCAAATGGCCAGTCGGTCTCTTGGATATCACCCCTTTATCATGAATTGAGAAGCATACCTGAGGGGTGAGTTTTGAGGATTAAGTGGAATTATAAGAAAATGTTTTGTAAACATGTATAAATTGTTTTTATTAATAAAATTATTTCTTACATGACAAAAACAAGACAGTGGGGCTGGAGGGATGGCTCAGCAATTAGGAGCACTGACTGCTCTTGCACAGGACCCAGATTGGATTCCCAGTACCCATAAGGCAGTTAACTACTATCTGTAACTCCAGATCCAGGGGATCCGATGCCCTTTTCTGGCCTCCTTGGGCATTGCATGACATGGATGCACTTATATACATGCAGGGAAAACACTTCTATACATAATTTTTTAATTTAATAATAATAAAAAAACAAGTACTAAGTAATTTCTCAGTGTGGCTTTTCAGTTTCATCAGGATCCTTTCTTCTGAAATCTTGCTGAGTATTACCAAGATGCTTGGAAGAAAGGCAATTCTAGAGCTGGTGGTGGGGTGGCAGAAAGAACTAGGGGATGTAACAGCTGGGGCTTGCTCTCGGAGCTGTGGAGAAAAGAGGACCTCCCTCACCAGAGAAATTTTTACATGACCCCGTGTGTGTGTGTGTGTGTGTGTGTGTGTGTGTGTGTGTAACTATGTAATAGGTTTGCAAATAAAACATTCATTGAAAATAAAACCATAAAGCAATTTATTTTAAAGCAATTCTTGGGTATACATATGAGTACTATAAATTTACTATTTATTGAGGACTAAAGCAAATTTGCATACTAAGATGGATGTGTTTATTTATTTTTACATAGTCAATTAAACTTTGGTTGAATATTTTATACTGCAGGAAAAAGACTATCTTCAATACTTTTCAGAGTTGGTTGATATTTTTATTTTATTTTTTAATATATTTTATTTGTAATTTTTTAGTTTATGTGTATGACTGTATTGCCTGCATGTGTGAGTGAGTGCACCTGTGTCATGCAATGCTCACGGAGGTCAGAGGAGGGCATTGGATTCCCCTAGAACTGGAGTTACAGATGGTTGTTAGCCACCATGTGGGTGCTAGGACTCAAACCTGGGTCCTCTGCAAGAGCAGCCAGTGTCTTAATTGCCGAGCCATCTCTTCAGCCTCAAATTTTTATTTTATAATGATCAATTCTGAAAGTGCCACCTCACATAAATATGTAGTACAAAATTGCGGAACTATATTTAGGGCCATTTCAGAAGTGGTTGAAAATTCTGTTCCAATCCAAAGCATAAATTTGACAATTGTTACATGAAAGTCAAATCAACAACTCAAACAGCAATTTTTAAAATCAAACATAACACAACACAATCCAAAAATTGTACTAATTTGGTATTTACATGTTGAAGAATAATAGGAGGAAAATGTTGAAAGTCTTTTGTTTTCCATAATTAAACCATTATGTTTCTAGAAGAACAGAAAAGTCTGTATGTACAGTGGAAACACTGCAGCTCCTGACATACAGCAGTCTTACATCTAGCGGGTCTTTCAGGCAGCATTAGTTGGCATCATGTGTCATAGTGGCACATATAGTTCAAAGAACCAAGAAACCATGATGCAGCACAGGTGAGCCCCGCCAGAAACACCAAGCTCGTTACCATTTCTTTTGAACTAATATCTGGCCACTGTGTATTCAGAAGCCTTTTCCACTGTCAAATTTTCACAATCCCTATATTCAGTTACATGGCCCCATATAGGTTAGTCCCACAGCTTCCGAGCTATGTCCTAGAGGATGGACAAGTCTTCAAAGGCAAGAGTAGGCCAAGCAGGGCTAAGCTCCTACCAACTCCTACATTCCATTGGGTGAAGAATTCAGAGGAAAGGAAGGAAAACAGGCCATCACTGCCCCTGGCTTCCACGAGCTGGCTCCACCACCTAGCTTTCTCTCCTACACACTGCCAGTTGAATTCCAGGGGTCATTTGTCTCCTGGCCCACAGAGGCAACCCCTAACTGTCTGTCCTCATCCCCTTGGTGGTTC